CTATTCGGACACAGCGAAGATGGCTTACAGAAAAAATTGCTCCCAATTTGGAGCTCATACTGAGGGTGTAGAGCTTTCAAAGAAAAAGAAGAAACCGGAGTGTTATTTACGCATAGCAAATTTCTCACAGGAAGGAGAAGCGCCCAGCGTAGCCGGGCTAATCCATAAGAAGGAGGGAAGCCCGGCGTTAGCCGGGCGGCCCGACTAGTATATACGTATATATATTAGGTGTGTGCATTAATTTCCGCCGCCGAATTGGAAGGTCCGTTGCGCGAACCATGTTAGAGGTTTACCGGTGGACCCTGTCATATTCGTTGACATAGGATATTGGCTACCTATTTAAGGGCAGACAGATCAGTTTTCCCCAAAGTCCCGTTGCACCCAAACTGATTGGCCATGGAACGTGGTGAGTCTTTTTCGGGAGGCCCTTCTCCTGCTCATTGATTTCAAGAAAACTGGCATTGAAGCCCACTGGATGCTTTTCGATACTTATGGAGGACAAACTCCATCTGAACGAACTTGCTGAGATGGTGTCTCTTTGCTCGAGAGTTTACAACGAAAGCGGAATGTCCACTGTCACAAAGTAATGCTGTGTGTGCATTTGGCGATGGGATCAAAAGGGTGTTGTGTACTATGAGCCGCTGAACCCGAACGAAACTGTTACAGCTGAACGCTACGAACACCAACTTGACAGTTTGTAGGATGCTCTCACCTGAGAGCGGCCGTTAATCGCAAGGAAATATCATGAGGTACTGTTCCACAACGAACGTGCCACACCCTGTTGCAAAGAATGTCCTTAAAAAAATGGCAGTTGTTGGATGGGATCAGCTCGTTCAGCCCGCATAATCTCATGATCTTGCTCTTTCTGATTACCACCTATTTCAGACCTGCAACTCACTTTGGTAGATACAAGCTTCCGGAATGCCGAAGAAGTGCGAAAATAGAAAGATTGCAGAACGTTGTAGCTAACGATGGGCAATACATAGGTTAATGTACATTCGGTTTTAATTGTGTAATAAATATGCTTTTGCATGCAAAAAACGGCGGAAATTAATACACACACTATATATATATATATATATATATATATATATATATATATATATATA